GGACTACATGGGCCAACCTCCTGAAATCAATGAGCCAAGGCTTCACCCATCACGCATGTAAAACCTCATTGACAGACAAGCTACAGCAGCCCCCTGCACTAGCAGTGGTAAGTACTCATCCTACAAACAGTGTGCTCATTTTACTACATTACAGGTTCTCTTTGGAGCCGACTTGAGATATCTGTGCTTGAAGGAACTCCTCATGTGACAGCAGCCACACCACAGTTCACATTAACTGCACAAAGCAACTACATCCCCTCTAGCTGAAGCATCGGCAGCTCTCTCAAGCATTAACTGACACCCATATGCTGTAGGTATAAGAATGGTCACTTCTAGCTTCCCCCTGCAGAATGAAGACTGGTAGTTGTCATGCCCTGCTATAGTGGGGCATCTTATTTCCAACAACTTTTTCAACACATCAGCACTCAATTAAGTGATGTATGCAGGGAGACAGTTGTAGACAAACTCCCACTGCCAGATGCTAAACCCAGAAAGGTACCAGCTGGAGACGAGAGAATCTCAGCAAACTAATTCTCTACCTGACTCCTTGTCAAGTAGCATCCACTTGAACAGACATCACCAGCCCAAGAAAGCACAGCTTATTTCAGCATGGGCTTGGTACAAGATGCCCATTCACCCAAGTGCTGCTCATCTAGACTCACATTTTCCGTATCTCTTTGCTGTTGTCTCCCAGAATCTGGAAGAGGCCATCCAGGATCTCTGGCAGGTAATCCAGAAGATTGATGTCAGGTACAGACTCTAGCACTAGGATCTAACTCAGAGAAGAATCAAGACAGACAAAGAAAAAGTCCTTGAGAGCTGCAGGGAAGACTAGAAGCTAAATAAACCAATTAACGCATGCCTATTTAGTGAGAAGGGGAGGGGTACATAAACCTGGACTACAGTGAGTGGCAATGTGAAGAGTACATGCGCCTCAGAGCAACACGGTGGTTGCTTAGTGCACTAGGCAACCAAATCAGCAGTTGAAAATGCTCTGGTTCCAAGCCCAAGTGCTACCAAATCCTAGGCCCTCCACAAACCTTCCCCTTCTATTAACAGGGGGACACTTATCTAACCTGAAGGCACTGAAAGGCCTGTTAAGTTCTGTTACTCTGAGTGTACAGACCTCTTGGGCAAAATGCTAACTATCTTCCTTCCACAATTCTATATGCAGTTAGTAAGGGGACTGGGGAACAATTACACAGCCTCCATGGCCAACTGGAGCAAACACCCAATGACTCAACATAAAAGGATGGGCAGGGCTGGAGGAATTGCTGGTCTGCAAGTAGTTCAAGTTAATTTATTCATCTGCACACACAAAGGCTGTGCATCTTAACTGCCAGTTCCTGGCAAGTGCCCAGATCAGAGATTCTCAGCCAGGGTGCCAGGGCGCCCTGGATGCCACCAGATCCTTTGAAGGGTGCTGCAAGGTGTGAGGAGATAAGCAGATAAGCCAGGCTAAGGTTTCCATCTGTCCGGACAATTCTCCAGCCTTACTGCCCAAACTCTGTGTAAGGAAGTAAGCACTGAAATGCATACATTTGTATTTGAAATTGGATGCCACTCAAGTTATGGAGGGGTACCTTGAGTCCAGTGTGGGGTACCCTGCATCCAAAAAGGTTGGACCACCGGCATAGATACTTGGATGATAGGCATGCTACAAACTAAAACTCCAGCTATATGTAACCAGAGCTGCCAGGGTCTGTGTGAGAATTTCCATGATAACCTGAGGGCAGCTGAGAGGTTGACAGCCCTAAGATATAGCAACCTGTGCACTTGATTGAGCCCTGGCAGCAGAGAAGCTGGCACAAGCATTATGCCACATGTACCTACCCAGGATATGATGAACTGCCGTGCATATTGGTTGTTTGAATAAATCCGCTCCCGCAGCAGGGGAATGAAGCTCACCAGATCAAACTTGTTACTCTCAGTCACAATGTCCTACAAAGTCAACAGAATTGCTAGATGTTAAGACAGCACATGCCAGCACTCAGCCTATAGCAGCACTATCAGCAGCTAGCCCCAGCCTCCAGTGTAGGAAGAGGGGGATTAAGAAGATATTTGAGAAATCAGCAAGCCACCAGCAAATTATCCAGCACCAGGAACAGGCAAGATCTCACAGCAGTTGGCCCTCAGGCCAAAGGAACACTGACCGATCAATTAGGATAGGGCTGTCCAACTGGTGGCCCACCAGGGGTTAATGCTCCAGGTGTGATGACAGTCAGGGGGCTCTGGGCTCTCACTCCTGAATTCAGGAGGCTACTTCTCACCCCTCTTTTGAGAGCCAGGCTGCCTGGGCTGCTGGAGGTCAGGTAGAAACCAGAAGGGTCACTCCCACTGTGTGTGGCTTTGTGCAGCATGTGGCCTGGGGACTGTGGCCTAGAGGACATGCAGCCCTTCACAGTCCAAAAGTTGGACAGCTGTGAATCAAGACACATTCAGCTGACGGTGGCTGATACCTGGTATTGCAGAAAAAGACAGACTTTCTTTCATAACGAACCAGTCCAATGATGCAATACCAAACAGAAGAGATTTCTTTGTGCAGGCACTGATCAGCAAATTTGCCAATAGCATGCAACAGAACCAGCCTTCCATGTAACTAGGTGTTGATGGCCATACCATTACCAGGTTCTTTTTAAGTTCTTCTGAAGTACCTGACTATGCCCTCCTTCGGCAGTGAATCCCTTGGCACCTTCCCTTGACACTGCAAAGGAGAATGCATGAGTATGGACAGACTCCTCACAAAGTAGGTAGCTCTGAAGGAACCTCTGTATCTTGCTGTTCACAGGACAGAGTACAGGTGCTGAGCTAGCATTTGGCAGCAGAGCAGGGGGCTGGCAAAGATCCATTTACCCAGAGGAGTGAGGAGAAGGAACTGGGAGTGGCTGGAGGCTTGCAAGACAACAATTACATTGCACATAGAGCAGGAACTAGAATGAAAGGCTCTTACAAGAGAGGACTGCTCTGCTCTTCAGAAACAGCACATTCACTTACCTACCTAAGGAGCCAACAGGAGAGAAGTGAAAGAGGGAGAGATATCACTCTGCATCTTGGAGGGGAAACACAGCTTCATGATCCTGCTAAGCCTGGCCTGAGCATTCTACTGTGGGGCCAAGCCCACCAAGAAGCATTTAATGACCACTCGCCTATCACTGTGTTCAAGTCAGCTACTCCTTCAAACCATTCACATGTTCCTTAGGCAAGATTCTTTGAGTAGATGTGATGATTTTTTTTTTTTTTTTATTAGACCAACTGAGCAGTTGGAAAAAAGATCTTAGCAAACTTTTGGGTGCAGTTACCCTTCTTCAGGCACAGGAAGTCTCTGCTGTTCTGAGACTCCAAGGAATGAGAGAAGCTAAAAGTGTGACAGGATGTCGGTGTGAATCTAAACAGGTAACAATTAGGAAAAACAAAAGATAGAACAGGGAAGGAGGAGGAAGTGAAAGCAGGGCTTCTCTTCACTTTTAGCTTCTTTCATTCCTTGGAGTCTCAGAACGGCAGAGACTCCCTATGCCTAAAGAAGCGTGACTGCGCCCGAAAGCTGACCAAGAACTTTTTTCCAACTACTCAGTTGGTCTAATAGAAATTATATCACATCTACTCAAAGAACCTTGCCTGCTTATGTCCTTAGATCAACATGGCCACAACCAAAAACCCAGCAACAGGCTCCTCAGACATTAGAAATTTTAGCACCAGGAAGCTCTCCCAGAGAACTCCAGCCAAACAGGAAGGGTCCAGGATTTATGTACGCAATTTACATGCCACCCTTCGCAAAAAGCTCAGGATGGCTTACAGAAAGTTTGGCAACAGTCACATGGCAGCACTGGCTGATACAGCCTCACAGAAATGATGCATCCTTAGCAAGATGCACCTACACAGGTAAGGGGTGAGTCAACTCAGCAATGCAGGTCCTCACAGGCAGGCTGGGCAAGCATAAGCACACAAAAGGTGTATTTAGCAATGCAGACCCACCCAAATATATATAAAACAACACACCCTCCCACTCCACAAAAGGCCTCTGAAAAGACATCCCCCCAAGGTAATCAGCTAACAGTACCTTGAGCAACCGGTCCAGTAGTTCCGAGCCACTCTTTACATTTGGGTCTGGATCGGCAGCAAGCTGCAATTCACAAAAACGAGAGAGTCAAGTCAATATGGGCTCTAGGGAAGACACATACACGTTGTGCACTTGGGCTGTGCTGCCATCATGTCCCAGATAGCTATGGAAAAGCCAAATGGCAAAGAAAAAATATCAGATGCCTGCAATGATTGCTCAGCTTAGTCACTTGTTGGCAGCTTCATTTCAGTCTAGAAGTTGAATGAGTTTGCAGGAACCAGCTGAAGAGAGACACCTGCAAGTGGACAGAGCTCGAGTGAAAGGCCCCCCAGGCAGGAGAAGAAGGTTGGAGGATGTCATCTTATGAGAACCATAGGCCTGCAGATGTTCCTGCTAACTGTACTCACCTGAAGCTACTCTCAGTTAAGGTGGGGAGGAGGCACATGGACAAAGCTTCTTACCTTGCTTAGGCCATCAAACAGCACATTGAAGTGAGGCAGGACAGAGCCCCGGGCCACCTTGACAATGTTGTACAGGGCCTCGCAGGCGTAGTACCGCAAACGGCTGTCAGCATCATTGAAGCACGTCAGCACCGGCTCTATCAGCTCCTTCAAGTACAGCCCAGAGTCCTGGGGGCAAGACAAGAGAGGGGCTCAGAGCCAGTGCTCGCAGACAGCTGGAAGAGGTAGGCTTTTTGTGGTCCATCATGGCACATACATGATAAAAGGTAAACATGCTTCAGCTAGCAGCTCTTCCAGGTGCATGTAGATGACACAGCCTGGCCCAAACTTACGTTACTATGATTTACAGTTCAGAGGGTGCCATCAGATTTAGTCCTGTGAAAGCCTTTGATTGGCTACAAGCTGTGAGCCTCCAACACAGGAAACCTTTGCTACATCTCTTGAACTGATTGCATGTCACTTTGGCTTCCAAATAAGGATGTTGCCATCCTTACAACTGCCTTTAAACAGCACACTTGGAAACAATCCATGAACAGACAAAGGCTTGAGATGTCTTCAGAACATAAACAGGGTCATTCCTGAAAAGAGAGACTTCAAGAGATACTGGCTCCATCAGAGGAGACCACATAGTTGAAAACCAATTTTGAGTTCAGGGGATATCAAACAACTAGCTCCACTTGTAATTCAAACCAAATGTAAAGCTAGGTTGAGGGAAATATTGTTCCACATGTTGGCCTTTGGGGCACACTGGGTTCTGAGTAACCAGCCCCCTGATGTTACCCTACTGGTATATCTGACCATTGTTCCCATACAGGTGCCATGTCTGACCAAGCAGAGAGATCATTTTGAGAAGGCATCTACTGCAAGTACTGGGGCCCAGGGTCATGAGATTCATAAGTAATTTCTGAAGTAATTTTCATTTATTTTAGTCAAATTCTCTCTAAACACCTCCAAAAAAGCTGAGGGTGCTTGTCATAATGAAAACTATTTCCTTCCATTCATCCTCCCCAAGAGATTCCCACCCACCCCTGTGAAAATGACTTGTGCCACTTTCTGAAGACACCTGGGAATGACTAGCGTGTGCCATAAAGGCCAATGCAGCTGAGTCAGAAACAAGTTCCCATTGAAAGACCCTTCATACCAGTACATACAGTCTTGCCAATAGGGTAAACATTCAACAGAGTAAACAGTCCTACTGAAGTTAAGTCTTCTGCAGTGTTTTTCAAGTGATTCTCAGGCAGGTTTGATTACATAATATCTTAAAATGAAGTCTTATTCTCATTTATGGGGGGGGGCAGCTGCACCCCTGCACCCCCAATGTACAGTTCCTGCTGGTGGCGGGAGCAGCAGCAGGAGCAGGCTCTTGGGGCACTCCTGGCCCATTGCAAGCAGAGGTCCCTGGGTGTGCGTAGCTCCAGCTGAATCCAAGGAGCTGCATATGGTGGCAGAGCCAGCTGGCCCAGCCCACTAGCGTGTGCCTTCAAACCAGACCATGCTGGCTCTGTGCCAGCACATGGGGCTCCTGGCAGTGCAGGTGGGGGCCATGTGCCATTGGGCCAGGCCGGCTCCATATCTCCACAGAGAGCATCTAGCACTCCAGTAGAAAGCCACATGTGGAGACAAGGAGCCTGCCCAGCCCAATGGCACACAGTCCGGGAGCTGAGGGGAGTTGCACTCCATTGGGCCGGGCAGGCTCTGTGCCTCCATGTGCAGCTTCCTGCTGGAGTGTTAGAAGCCCACACGGAGGCACAGAGCCAGCCCGATGGCACACAGCTCTTGCCTGCAGTGTCAGGAGCCCCATGTGCCGGCGCACAGATCCAGCCCGGTCTGGTTCAAAGGTGTGCGCCAGTGGACTGGGCTGGGCCAGCTCCGTGCCACCATATGCAGCTCTTGAGATTCAGTTGGAGCCATGCACCCCCAGGGGGGGCTCTGCCTGCAATGGGCTGGGAGTGCCCCAAGGGCCTCCTGCCTGCAGCTCCCACCAGCAGCAGGGGCTGTGTGCTATGAGGGGGGAAGGCACCCCATACACCAGGGGTGGGAAAAATGCAGCCCACTGGCCAGATGTGGCCTGTCAGGCTATTCTATCCAGCCCGTGGGGCCCCTAAAAAATTTGCCTCAGAACTAACATAGCAAGAACCCCTTTCCAGTGCATCCAATAGGTTTAGCTGATTATACTGATTCACTGTCTCAGTAAAGGGAAATTAAAGGAATTAAAATCCACCTGCATGTCACTGCAAGCAGGGATGCTTGTTAATAGAGTGTGGTGTGCTACTGTATGGAGTGAAATGCTTTAAGAAGTGCCATCCTGGGTCAGACCAATGGTCCATCTAGCCCATTATCCTGTCTCTGACAGTGGCACAAGTGGATAATAAACAAAATGCTATAGACACAGTCTAGGGTTGCCTTCCCTCCCTCTACCCCCCAGCTGTCCCACCCAGTCATCCTCAATATTTAAACATACAACCCATGAAAAAGGCTGCTGTGACTTCAGAGCGTGGATCTGGCTCTTTATGCTCAAAACTGCTGCTTCACCAAACAGTTCCTGGCCTAGTCCTGCAGGCTTTACTCAGTGCTTTCAAAGGGAAAGTGAGGAAAGAAGTAATTGACAGTAGCTCATTTCAGGTCAGCTAGTTTTGCTTTGTAGCCAAATGTCACAGGAGGGTCTCAGCCAGATGGACAGGCATGTGCGATAGATGCTGCAAAAGGCTGTCTAAAACTGAGTTTAAATAGGGTGTCTCTGTAAAAACAACTGAGGCCCAGAATGCTTTAGGCCTCTCACCAGGATGGAGCTATATTATGACCATACTTCAGTCTAGTTAAAATCCCATCTGTGCTAAAATAAGGTACCATGTGCTGTGGCACTGCAGAGCATAGGGCCATGTTTTCCACTAAGCATATAAAGATGAAAATAACTTCCCCCTGCAGCATCCCTGAGTGCCAAGACTGCCACATTATCTACTAAGCACCCAGAACCAGTGCTCTCTCTCAAGCATTTGGCAGACTTTTGCCTTGAGCATCTCATAAGAAGATTAACTTCTGCTGACTGTTTGAACATGGACAGACTTCAGTCTCATTAGCCTAGTTCATTATACCCCTGCTCATCTCTATTCTCAGCCTAGCACCAGGGTTAATTTTTAATTCTTTTTCCTGCAGCTAAAATTTAGCAGCTGCAGTTAAGACTGTTTCAGTTAAGCAGAACAGGGCTAGGAGGCACTGATCCTTCTCATGAGGGTAAGCATTAGTGCTTCAGTGGCCTCTTCATGTGAACTGAAGTCACTGATCCAAACACTCTCCACCAAGTTGGCTCACAGGAAGCAGGCACTCGCATCCTATGGTGACAAGCACAGTCTAGGAATCGGACACCTACCTTGCCAAGGGCGATGGAGCAGGCTGCCAGGCCGATTAGTCCCCCCTTCCTGCTGTGAGGGTGCTGTGAAAGCGCAAACTCCTGTGACAAGATCTGGATCACATGCTTGATCTGGGTCATGTTGCTCTGAGCCACGAACTCCCGTACTAACCTGAGGAGAGTGAAAAGCTTCAGGTTCTGTAGGACAGAAGTGCCCCCAACCCAACTCAGCGTGCTCGGCTTGCGTCCTTGCTCCCACAGAACATGGCACAGAGTTCAGCAGTACAAGCCAGAGACTCATGTACTGAGTAGCAGGTGCCACAAACCACCCCAAGAAGTGTGGGCAGGACAAGGAACTTTCATTACAAACAGTTTCACTTGAACCCGGAAGTGAAAGCCTATAGTTACCAACAAAGCAGGGAGCTAAACAACTAACTGCCAGCTCCTCAGCTCCACTTCTCTTTTTACCCACCCTGTGCCATTTCTATCTTGTCATAAAGCAGGCAAGTGTTTTGCCATGGGTGACCCTGAACCAACAGCATGGAAAGTCAGCCCAAGGCCTCGCCTCTATGGGGGAGGAACATTCCTAGAAACAAACCTCATCTCCTCATCCAGGCCTTCACATCCAGAGCATCTCCCTCTACACCCAACGCTCTAGAGCAATGATTCACCACCATTTTAGATAAAAGGCACCACATGATAATTTTCCTGAACTTAACAGCACCCTGGCATTCTGCCTTGGCTTACACCTCAGTGGTCTCAGCTGAGATGCTGTCACCGCTGCAGCACCCCGAAAGGATCTTGTGGCACCCCAGGGTACCATGGAAACCTGCTTGAGAACCACTGTTCTAAAGACCCCTAAAACCCAATGCATCCTGCAAGCTTCAAACTGCTGTTAACAACTCTGCAGTCATCCTTAAGCCCTCCAAGGACAGATGATTGCATCTAGCCTGCTGAGTATCAACAGCAAAGTGCTCAGCTGAAAAATCAAACCCCAAACATTGGCAGTTCTGACCCGAAAAGAACATTCATGTGCACGCAGCTCCCTGTGAGCACTCAGCTCCCATACTCCCTGCCTGCTTTGCAATAGCCTTCAGGAAGGCTGAGAACTGAACTGAGATCACGAGTAGGATCTCACCCTAGGCCAGGCCCTCACCCCTGTGACCTGGCCTGAAGGTTCCTTCATTATAAACCCAAAGGGAAGCCAACAGCTCTCTAGTTTTGTTAGAAGCTGCAGTCTCTGTAGAAGTTTTGTTTCAGCATTTTACTGCCAGAGCAGGAGGGTCTTAGAAACAGGGGTTCAGCATTTATCAATGTGAAAAGACACCCACTGCAGACACTGTACCAGAGATGAAAGCAGAGTCTATGTAGTCTGAGCACCAGGATAAAAGTAGTTCATCCCACTCACAAGCCATCAGCCCATGCTAGGCCCAAGTGTTTGCCTTTGTAATGAAATCCACCTCCATTCAGAACTTTCTTAGATAACCCCTTAAAGCAATGTTTCCCAACCTTTTCCAGCCCAAGGCATACTCACATCAATACAATTTTTCTGCCGCACACCTGTTAAGGCATTCCCCATCTCCATATTTATGAGCTCATTGCCCAGCAAACTTTGGTGGCATATGTTCAGAGGCTCGTGAACTGCGCACCCCCCACAACCAACACATGAGTGAGTCTTCTACAAATATCTCATCAATGCAGTTTATTTGTTAGTGCTAGATGGCTGGAGAACTTTCTCATTATTCCAAAATTCTCACAGCACACCAGAGAGCTCTTCAGTGTGCTGTGGCACACCAGCTGAAAAGCACTGCCTTAAAGCAAAGGAGTCCTGCCTTTTTGAGCACTGGTTTAAGAGTCTATGTGGTTTTTCAAGTTATGGGGTATCTGTCCCATGGTCACCGCAAAAAGTCTCTTCCAATACTCAGACTAGTCCTGTGCTCAGTTCAGCCTAGTCTGTGCATCAATTCCAGACTGTCCTGGGAAGAAGGGTCCTCTACACAAGTTCTGAAGTCTATTCCATAGACTTGCAGTTCCACTTTGGATGAACCAAGTTGCTTGCTAGAGGGGAATGTGACTGCTTAGCCTAATTATGACTAATGAGAATGATTTGCCTAATTAGGACAAGATTAGCATAAATTCCACTTGCCAGGGATAGATTTTGCTGGCGTCAGGTGGTGGTTAACTGGATGTTAAATAGATGTGAAAAGCTAAAAACTGCTCTTTTAATGTAAGAGTTGATACATAAAGATGAAGTATTTTAAGTGGGTGCTTCCATCAAGCACAAGTACCTGAAGGCTGGCACTTGTATCTGAAAGCTGCAGAGTGGAGAGAAACAGACATTGGAGTCCACAGGGCTCACAGTCAAACACAGGTGGACTGGGGTAAGCAGAGATGAGGATGGTCTGAGTCTAATGCGCCCTCCCTGTACAGACCATAGCAGAACAAGCAAGTATGTGATGGGATTCTTGCTCTCCAAAGTACACTCCATTTTACTATAGGCACAGCAGCACCTAGTGACTGCACCTAGGGAAGATTCTTTGCCCCTCTTTGAGGCACCTGCCTATGCTTTCCATCCTGCAGGAGGCCTTACTGAAGGAGACAGCCATGTCTGGAGAGTAGGTCTCTGCTGATGACTGAGGAGGCTGCTTCCAGGGCAGAAGCCAGTTCTGCATGCAACAAAGCTGAGCCATGGCAATTTAAAGCAAAGATATGGAAGTGTTGCATTCCTCACCACTACAACAGCTGCATGCTCTAGAGTCTTTTGCCAACATGAGCTGCACTGCCATCAGGAGCTATTCCTCCCTGCCATCTTGATGCAAGAAAGACCTCCATCTGGAGCAAGGTTCAGGGGGTGAGTTTCACTTTAGAGGCCAAGGTGAACCTCCCCTCTCCCATAAAAGAAACAGATGTGAGTTTAGACAGCTCTACTCAACCTTCCAAGTCCTGAAGCACCAAGGGGCAGGAGGAGGTGTGGGTGGCAGCACTGCAGCTCGAAGACAAACACTTTTCCATACTGAAGAGGACTCAGAAGAGAATATGAGAGTAATAAAGAGGAAAGGCACAGCACATCTGGCCAATACAAAGTTTTGAGAGATACTTCTTGACCCATATTTTCAAAATGATTTTTTGTGTTCTCTGCCTGATAACTTGTCATTTATTCTGGACAGCAATAGCTAGTACCACAAGTTCTCGGAACCAGAGCAGGGGTGCACAAGCTCTGGCCCATGGGACAGATCTGGCCCACTCGGCTCCCCGTTGATTTGTGGAAAGCCCTGTGGCTGTGGCCTGCATGTTAGATCAAGTGCACAGGGCAGCACATGCCCCAATCTCATTGCACAGGGCCAGGCAGAGGCAGCAGCAGTGTAGGGCTTCAATCCTAGCATGCAGACTGGCCCCACACCACTCATCTGGCCCACTTGGTCAAAAGGCTGACCACCACTGAATTAGACAAAGATTTCACATATCAGTATCCCTTCCTCCTCAAGAAACACTTTTCAGACCTCACTACCCTGAGCTTTTGGGCAATAACCAGAGAGTGCATTTGAAACAAAGTTATTCTGACACACTGATGACCATGAATGACAAACCACCAACCAAAGCCTCAATTCTACAATTGCCTGAACAGCTACATTATTTCACAGACATCAGATTAACCCTAAAGGTACATCTCTTTCTGCTTCTCCTCCCTTCCCATGTACTCATCCCTTCCCCACTGCTGTTGGAGGTGTCAACATCACTGCAGAAACAGACTCAAAACAGTTGCCAAAGGAGAAGCCTGCCAGCCAAGGATTTATGGAGATGTTTGCAAAAATTCAACAGCTGGAGCATTGGTGGTTCAGTGGTAGACTTCTCACCTGCCACACGGGAGGCTCAGCTTTGATTCCCAGCCAATGCAAGTACAAGGTTTCCTTTGCTGGCTATCCTTTCTGTAGAGGATGTGGAAAAGACCACCTCAGCCCAAGCATTGTTCTAAAGTTTTTTAATTCCTCACAGCTGGTTAAAGCTAAAATTAAAGCAAAAATATTTAACAGTTCACATAATTCTGGCACATTAAGTGTTTAACATGGCAGAGGTATTTAAGAAATCACAGAATCTTAGAACCTCTCTGTGCCAGCTTCAGTGAGAAATCGCACATGCTAATAACCCCAGCATACCAGGAAACTGAAATCTAAACCACCAACCTCAGACATGGCTGATAACAAGGACAGTGGAAAACCATAAGCTGCTCTTTCCTATGAGTGCTTCACTCACTAAACACACGTTGCAGCTCTGTGAGACTACTTCCATAATAAGTGTATCCAGCCTAGTTCTCCTCTTGCACCATTTCCAATGAAAATGGTTCTTTTTGCTTGGACACCCTGGAAACTCACAGGAAGAGCCCAGATTTGACACCCTGCATGAAGTGTCAATTATGTTCTTAAAGTGGCAACTTTAAAAAAAGAGCTTCAGTTTCCAGTCTCGCTGCTGGCAACATGTTCTAAGGAGAGAGCCTGGTGTTTTGTAACATAAGACCACCAGAACTAAGAAAAAAATAATGTCTCTCCATATGGATTTCATAACTAGACAGAACTTTTACAACATCTGCTCAAAGCATTTCCCTTTCCTCAGGGCTCAACATCCGCCAGTCACAGCAAGCTATAAATAAGAGAGATCCAGAAGCAGCACTTAGTATCAACATGGCATTCTCCCACTGGCAAGACCATCCTGACAGTCAACTCTGAACCCTGCCCTAGGCTGTGTTGAAGCTGAGTTTCTAGTCTACGTGGTTTGCATGAATGGTGAACTTCTTCCCACCTTGCTTCTCCAGAAGCAAAGAAACTCTCTGCTCTCCCTCCAGAGCCACCTGCCTATTCTCAGGGTTACAAAAACCTTTTTACTGTTCCTAGAGAGATCAATCTTAGGCCCTCCTCCTCTGAGTAAATCCACTACCCAATTCAATTGTCGCTGTTGGCTCGATGATTTTACAAGCAGCAACAGAAAGAAGACAGCACTGTTGCTACCTACAGGTTTCTGTTGCAATTTGACAGAGCTAAAAGCAGCAGCAGGGAGGACTAGGATCTATGTCAGTAGGTTGACAAAGACTCTTCTCTTAACCTCAGTGGAAACTGTTGCAGTCAATACAACCTCCTCCTGGCCCCCTGTTTGATCACACAAAACATGAGTCACAATTGT